TGTTTAATAAATTATAAAGCAAAACAAAGAAATTTTACTTGTAAATTATAATAAATATAAAATTTGTATAAAATAACTGGTTCAAACCGGTTTTAACTTCTGGGTCGGGCTGGTACCTATATTTAGAGAAATAATATGATGATCACATATATATATATATTACTTAATTGTATTTTTTTTTAATATAATATTATATTATATTAAATTATTGCTTCGCAGAGGTAATAATAAAAAAAAAGGAGAGAAAGTAATAGTTTCAAGATAAAAGAAGAGAGAGTTCTTTACAGAGCCTAATAGTGATTATCAAGAATTAAGCTAAGGAGTTTCTAGAGTTTTTTAGTAAGTAATAAACTCTAAACCTGTTGGCAAGTAGTGTATAAAAACTACTTTTAAATAGCAAGTGCCACTCTTGTAGTAAGTGATAAACTCTAGGTCTGTTAGCAGATAGCATATAAGAACTATTTCGAAACAACAGATGCTATCTTATAGTTTCTCAAACTTCTTGCTTATAAGTTTCTATAGTATCTGTATACTTTTCATAGGTTGGTTTTCCTCAAAGTTTTGGTAAAAGGATTGTCAGAAAGAATTTATTTTTATTTTTTCTAAATAACTTTTATTTATTTATTTATTTTTTTTAAACTTCAATGATTTTGTCATTAACTTTATTACTTATTTAACTGAATATTACAGATATTTAACCTATTTAAGTAGTCATAATGACCTCACCTGGCTACTCTATATAGCGCCTAGATACAACCGTCTGCACTATCTCACATGTGAAATAGACATCCTCAAGTACCTCTATCAAGAAGCACCCTAAGTCCTGATTTAACTCAGAACCTTAATGTTTTTACTAATTCGTATATACCCCGCTATATATACTACTATACAACGTCTACTAGTTATAATCCACCTCTTATCACTTATCACATTACTCCTAATTCGTTTCTTGTATAACTTCCAAATTGGTGTTCTAAGAGTAGGCACTTTTCTTGCTTCTAGTTTGGTGTCTCTCAAGATGTTACTTCAGTTCCTAATCCATATCTCAAGCTAGGTGCTACTGTTGTCTGAAGACCCGTATCTCAAGCCACTTGCTGCCGCCATTAGAAGAGCTGTTCATATGGTTCCAGGTATTCACATCATACACCACCAAATTAGGCTACTACTCCTTTTATAGTACTCCCTATCGGTATGGTATTACAGAAGTCTAGATCTTTAGAACGGGAGTTGAGTACCTCATTTAATTACTGTCACAAGCCAGTAACCCGGGACCTGCGCTTCTGCCATGTTTCATCATGCTTCCATGACTCCCATATAGGTTATGCAACACATTACTTACAGGCCAACTTTATTTTCATATCACTAGAGCGCTTGCTTCTATACTTATTGGAGTTTCTTTTTAGCTAGTTTTCCTTGTTTTCTTGTGCCAGAGGTGTTTCATATTTGGTAAAGCTATTCTCTTACCATAGCCTCTTACTATGTTCACTGCTTCTCTTACCACTTTTGGATATATTGCATATAGCCATCCTTCCAATCAAGATCCCAATGCCACCTTAGGGTTGTTGGTGCTACCTTGTCAATCGTGGATTCACACGCATAGCCTTTTGCAGTATTACCTTCTGTGACCCATATCACACGCAGTGCCTAATCTTTTTCATAGCTCGGAACTCCTTTCAAGAATTCTTTATCAGCCAAATATGTACTTTACATGGTCTTACTACCACAGGGTTTTGCATTTAAAAGCTCCTAAAGGTTACAGAAATAATTAATTAAATTAATTACCACCAGCTAAATTGAACTGTTAACCTCGTTTGTGGAGGGTTAGGTGTCTAGACCACTAGGCTACGGGACCCTAACCCAATTAAATAACTTTTATTAAATGCAAAATATATATTTACTTAGTACAATTTTGAGTTATATATATATAAACTACTTTTACTTAATAAAAAATAACTAAAAATCAATTTGTTCTCAAAATAAGCTACCTTGGAAATTTTTGTATAATTTTTAGCCTAAAAATAATAGCTTATTTTCAGGAAAATATAGCAGCAAACCCAACTCTTTGCAACACTGAAGTGTCCAAATTACTCATGTTCAATCTGCTATAATAAAGTTTATTTTTATATCAAAAAACCCTGCAAATGAATTCTTTGATATATTACAGAATAGTATTTATGGCCTATCAAGATCACCTTCTTTTCTAACCTTCTTCTAGCTTTCCAAAATTTATTTGATTGGCTGATATAAATCAATTGCTATTTATACACTTATAAGCAAAAAATCAGCACAAATATTATTTCTAGCTACAGAAGTGCTAGAAAGTTAACTCTTTTATAATCTTATATTTAAAGAAGTTAGCTTAAACACAACTTTCTGAACTAGATAAAGAAAAAAGACTTTATTTGATTTAACATGCATTAAAAAAATAGTTATTAACAAAATAGCTAGTTTTTTTTTTTTTTATAGATCAGAATTTCATATTTGGTTTTTTGAATCAGAATAAGCTTGTTAGTGGTGTTAGCAATAAGAAATTTAGGGTTAAAGCACTTTAAAATTGGGTTGGTTTTTAAGTTTGGGTTTATAGATCATAGATATGAGGTTGCTTTACAGAGAACTCTCCCTAAGTACACCCCCTATAAATGCACGGACTATGTATGCACTCTCTAAATGCATACTAATATTTATTTCCAAGCATATAGAACTTTTAATAAAATGCCTTCTGTAAATACACACCTCTCTAAATGCACATTTTTGAAAATTTTGCCTATGATCCCAAGAAGAGTGCACTTAGGGAGGGTTCTCTGTAGTAGTTGAACACTGCTTTTACTCCTTTTTACAAATATTCACCTATCTTTTATATATATATAATCAGTGTTATTACTGATTCAAATAAACTTTTTTCTTGAAGTTTTTGTTTTTAGTATGTAATATTGTAAAATAACAGATAAAAATTGTGTATAAAACTTAATTAAATCAGCTGAAAAATCATTTGGCTAATTTTTATTAGGTGTTCCAGGAATTATGAAAATAGCTGTAAATTGGATTTGAAATTTAAATATTTAAATTATTGGGCTGGGTCGGGTCTGGCAGGATTGGACTATAGTTTGATGTAAGCCCGACCCGACCCGGCCTATTATGGACCCTAAGTCAGTGTTGTCACTCGGACCGGACCGGACCGGACAAGGTAGTCATGTCCAGCAGACAGTTATATTGTTACTTAATAAATTATAATCAAATATAGCCAAGTATATAGTGGTTAACTTTTTACCCAAGATAACCTTAAGTAAAATCCGATAATTAATATCACCTGGACTTTAATTTATTTATTAGCTATGAAACTTAAATTACATCGTTGTCCGATTTCAAAACCTAATTCATTTTATACTGAGAGATTCATAAAAATATTTATAAATATACGAAATATTACCTTTTTGTGTGTATATCCAAGACAGTATATAGCCCAACCAAAGTTCCATCTCGGATTGTAATTAATAAAAGTATCGGTAAGGTTTTTCATTCATAAAGTTTAAGATATTTTATTTCATTCATGCTTAGAGAACAAAGTTTTCTTTAAAGCACGAAAGTTTTTCAATACACAATATCTTCGAAAATGCAAAGTACCCGACTTATAGAATACCTACTAACACCTAAGTGTTTTGCAATTTTTCGAATTGATAGGCCTTTTAAATTTTTTTCAATAATTTACCAGCGAACGTGCTTTGAAAGTATTATATTTTTGGAATTCAACAAGAGATAAGTATAATTTATTGTATATATATTAGTATCGGCTAAAAATCATCTGGCAAATTTTTTATCAGAGGTTCAAAAGTTATGATAATACTGGTAGCTGTAATCCGGTTATCATATCTTAGGGTAGGACCACCAAGATTTTTTTTTTTTTTTGTATACAGTACATCTGATTTTTTTATAGCGTCTTACTCTCTAGTCTTTTTATAGGGTCGCTTTCTCTGGAGTCTTGGGATCTTCGTTTCTTGGTGATTTCTTTTTGCTGATGTCGTCGTTGGTGTCGTTGTTTGTCGGTGCTGTCGTTTTGGAGTTAGTATTTTAGTCTCGCCGTTTCATTAAATGGTGTCTTTAGCATCGCTGTTTCATAGGTAGTTGTCTTTTGTGTTGCCATTTTATAGGTGGTTGCCTTTGGTGTCATTTCACAGGTGATTATCTTTGGCATCGCCATTTCATGTGCGGTCGTTTGGTGTTGCTTTTTGTTGGTTTTTATGTCTTGTATATGGTTTGTATGTTTCTTTGGTGATTGATAGTAGGTTTCAATTTCTTGAATAACGAGTGGTTGGTGAATTTCTTTGATGTAGGCGGCATTGAAGCATTGAATGGTACGGTCCAATTCTTTGGCGCATTCTATTACTTGACAAATATGGTGGCTTTCTTTGTAATGCAGTGACTTTTAGGCTAGGGTTATGAATAGGTTGAAGCTTGGGTAAAGTTAGCAGTTAGTTAAAATAGGATTAGTAGTCGAGTACGATGTGGATGGCAAAATGCAAATTATTGGTTCAGAAAATATAAAAGTCTTTTGAAAACTAAAAATCATCGGATCATATCAATTCTGAACTTAAGAAGATATTAGACGATGAGAGATTTAAATTATTTTAGATTGATTATAATGAACGATCAAAATTATATGTTTCAAATGCGGCGCAACAAATAAATAAATAAATAAATAAAAATTTATGAATCGTAATAAATATAATACTTAATAATGATAAATAAATTACATATCATCACTATGCTCCAGGTTTATCATCGATATGATAAAACTGACTTTAATTATACTGGTCTTGCCGAAATAAATCGTCAGAATAATCGATTTGGTTAATTTTTATCAGGTTTCCCGGAAAATGTTAATAGCTACTGAGTTTTTTTGATCACAAACTCGGACATCGGACAGTGTCCGTGTCCGCCATATGTCCGTGTCCGACAATTATTGCTCGGACAGTGTCCGGTAACAATCAATTTACTCGGACATAATTCGGACACGGACGTCGGACAATGTCCGAAATGTCCGAGTCCGCCAAAAATAGCTCGGACATTAAAAATTGACAACACTGCCCTCAGTAAATTATTTATCTAAATTCACGCTGTTTCAAGAGTTATTTAATTTCGCATATTATTTAAAATTTGAGCAATTTAAAATTTCCTATACCAAATTTTTCTAAAGTTCAAAATATTTATCGTGAAGTGCCCGACTACATCTATAGTCTCAAGTGCATTAGTCAACACTTAAGTACTAGTTATCAGACACGTCCTATGCGATCACAGAATAATTTCCTTATAATTTATTCATACAAATATTCGTAAGAGGTGAGTAGAGATGTTGATGAAATTAGTTTCACCAATTTCAGAATATAACACCGGTTTCGTTTATAGTGGTGAAACTATCACCATCATCTTTAGAGATGACTGAATAGTTACACATAGGACGTGTCTGATAACACTCGTTAAAGTTTCACGTATTAATATTTAGTACACACGTACGGTTCAGATGTCACGTGAAATATGTGCCGGAATTTAACTGCAATACGAATGCCAATTAAGTTTCTTATTTGTACTAGTAGTACGAAATGCCTGAAAAACTACTATAGTATAAGGCTGAAAAGAAAGCAACTTACTTTGCGTTAATATTAAGTATTTATTCTTATGTGCCTGAAATATAACTTGACGCTCATCAAATTTTATTTTTTTCAAAGAATTTTATTAAGAATCATTATAGATATGTATGTATACGTTGAACTATATTAAATATGTACTACAATATAATAATATGTATAATAAAGAAATTAGGACATTTATACGGAGTTGATTTAGGTAGAAGATGACTTTTGAATGAAAAAAAGAAGAAAAAGCACGCCTAATCATCTAAATTTCATTCAGATTGTAACTCGCTATCAATTTAAAAAAAGGCTTTTTTTTTTTTTGAACATTAAAAATTTTTTCATACAGTTTTACAGTTTTTAAGGTATTATTTACGCGATATTATTTTGAACTGGTTTTTCTCCTGAGCGTTCATTAAGTTCCAAACTGTAAGATCGAATGCAGACATATAAGTAGGCCTATTAAATGAAATAAGAAAATCGAAAATTATTAGCGTTAGTAGAATTAATAAAAACATTATAGCGATACATATTTCAAGTGATGTGTGCACATAAAATATGCCAAGTCTACGAACAGTGACTATGGACAATAATAATGTGACTAATGAACTAGTAATGAAGGATACCGATACTTACTTGCCACAATGTACCAATCAAGAATGGAATAATCCAACCAACAATGCTGTAACCTGATGTGTTAGCAATATTATCACAGATGGCTGTAGATGTATTGGCCTTTTGAGCAGCCTTTATACATTCATCTTTAGCAGCAGCTATGGTAGAATTCACGGCAATCTCTACAACAACAACGTAAGCAATTTCAGCTACGATATAGAAGATGATGGCGATGAGATAAGCTTTAACGAATTTGGCTACGCGATGCGGAATTTGATAGTAGATTGCATGAGCGCCATAAAATGCACCCACAGCAAATATGAGATAACCGACACCAAGGACTTTCCAGAAGATGGTAAAGCCGATAGAAGCTGATTTTAAAAGAAAAGTGGAGAGATTAGAAGAGTGTGTGGATTAAAGTTAGCTAAGAGGAAATACTTACTGCCAAATGAAGTGAGCACGATTACTACGCCAGCGTAAGCAAACCAGATTAACATCCATGCCGCAACAATGAATGCACCGATTTGAAGAGGAACGAAGAAGCTATATATATATATATATTTAAAGAGCAATTTATTAATTAATCTTTAAGTACATGTAGCATAAGAAATTATCTGTAAGTCAATAAAAATACTTACCAACAGATATTAACGCGGGGAAGTTTGTCGAGGATGGACATTTTTGGTAAGAAAATTTATCGACGTGTTTAAAGCTTTTTTTAAATAGTAAAAGATAGCAAAAGCTTCTTTTATATGATAGCGAGAAGATGTATTTAAAGGAGTGTTTTTTTTTTAAAAAAAAAAAAAATTCAAGCGGAATGGAATGAAAGGTCGAACTTAGGATATTAATTTCATGCTGGTATTTATAACATTTTAGATGTATGCTAATGTATCTTTATATTAATTTAAATAAAAAATAAACATTTTGACACCCATATTAAACATTCGTTGACAAAGTTTACAACAACAATTGGTCGGTTCAAAGGTTAAATGTACAACAAATAACATAATTAATTTTAATTTAAATCAAAATTGAATTCGTGTTAAATAAATACACAAAGACGCGAAGAGAACATACTCGTATCACGTGATTCAGGAAAAAATCGTGGTAGTGTTTCAGAACGTAAGACAACTTTAATTCGCTAAATTATTATGAAAGCACAATAAATTCGCGTCACATCAATCTTTATTAAGCACAGAACTAAAAAGACCTGATTCAAAAACTCAAAATTGTGATATTTTGTAACCTATCGTTATTAATATGGTAATAGATAACGCAGCAATATTAAACGTTGATACAAGGATACAAGACATTCGGATAAAATCAATATGAGTATGTGTGACCGAAAAACGCATGATGCCACTATCGGAATGTTTAATTTTACATTTATGTACAGTATATAATAATAAACGATCAGATCACAATTTTAAACATAAATAAAGAGATATAATTGGTCCATAAAAATCTTTAGTTTATAAGTGTAACGATGCATTGTTCATTTTAAGTAACGCTGGATATTAATCTAAAATTCAATATCGATATCGGATCTTACCCGAAGAAAAAGGAGTTTTGAATTTTACAATACATTTCCAAAAACAATTTTATTTGGAATTTTTCGATAATAAATAAAAACTGTAACTTGAATGAATTTAATTAATTTAGTACTACAGAAAAATTAATTCTTTACAACAAACTAATAAATGTGATGAAAATATCTGATTATTTGCATGCTTTATAAGCGAAAATCAATAAACTTTTTTATTAGAGTTTAAATATAAAATTAGATTAAAATTACATTATAACTTATCGAACAAAAATGAAATTTTTTGGATAGTTCTCATTAAGGCTCGAAGCTGTGATCAGAAATGGGCAGTAATTATACAGAATACAGTATGCAGATTTTCTGATAATAAATATATACAGTATATAACGCAGGCCTTATTTCCAGTCATGTGTCCGAACTTTTGGTTGCGCAATGGCGGTGTCGCAAAAATAACCTTCCTGATGGATCGTCGGTACTATTCTTGGTGTAGTGGAAAAAATTTCTGTCCAATAAGACATTTAAAGGAATTTCGATTCCGATTTCTCGGAAGTCATGACTTGTAATTATCATAATTCATAACATTGATCTCGGACATCCTAAATGATAGATTATTTGGTCGAATCCGATAAGCTGTTACATGATGTAATCTATATGTTGTATATATGTGGATATGTAGTGGAATAAATGAAATATCTCCCCAGTGGCATATGCGGGAGATATTTCAAAATTTCCCCGACACGATGAAATAAATGTGTTATTTATTTACTGTTTCATATGACAACATGACGGGGACTCGTGTTACTAATTGAAAATTTATTAGAAATTCCTGATATAGCTCAAAATTTGGAATTTGTCATTTCTATCACATTCTTTGTCTTCATTTACATCTCTAAAATGTTTGGGAAAATAGCTATAAAGGGCATGGACGTTATTTAGAAAATCGTGTCCCTAAAAATAGCATGCATGCATTAGTATTTCGATCCTAATTTTTTTAAGATCCTCTTTAGTGTATCCGGATAGCAATCCGAATTTAGGTAAACCCGAATTCAATTATTAAGTCCGAATTCTATCTATGGTTTACATGATTAGAAATTAAATCCTGTAAGGTTAAAATGATTAAACGCATGAGAGCTCTTACAGGTTTTCGTTTGGCATTCTGAATTTAATATTCGAACTAATCTCTTTATTAATGCACTGTATATACGTTTTTTTTATAACAATTAGATTATTATTTAGTTTTAGCAGATGAAATATGTATAACTATTTTTTATTAATCCGAGTAATTAATATAAACAACTAATTCATGAATAGTTATTGTTCTAAGTACCTTTTTCGTTCGCGTTTATCGCTAGCATAAGTTCATTATTGATTGATAGGATCGATATAATTTAAGGAAATTTTTTATTATAAACGGCGAGCATTATTTACTGATCGATCGATATATTTGATAATTTAATAAAATATATAAAGCCATGAATGCAGCATAATAATGGACACAATAATTTTCCTTTCATTAAATTTCAATGTCTCTTCTCTCAATCCAGTTTACACTAGCATACATGATTTCAAATAACTGCGCGTCCAGAAATGACGCGCACCCACATTAAGGTTTCAACAAGTAATTTGATATAACAGACAGGTTTCAAAATATCGCGCAGGTGGGCGTTATTTCGCGAAAATACGGTAAAAAAATAAATAAATTTGTGATAAAAACTATGATTAATAATCATAATGAGACGGTAAATAACAGAATTTTATATAACTAAGTAATTGTATCTTTTAATAGTCATTTTAAAGCAATCGTATTTTACTACTCAATATAAGATATCAATATTCTTTTATTACAAGTTTTTAATGGTTTAATTCAAATAAATAGAATTCTAGATACTAGGATCAAGAACTTAAAGCTAATATACATGAAATCAAATAAAAATAATTCCTACAAATACGTACTATAATTTTATTATATTTGATGTGGGAGTCAAAGAATACTACAGTATACTTAAACTATATGAGTGCCGCCAAGGGAAAACCGACCCACCTAGTATCACCACCAAAATCTTGTACGTAATCGGGTTTTAAATTTATTTGCCGACATTAAAATTAATGAT